AAGCCCGGGGTCTGCACCAACCTGATGAGCCCTGATGGGAGTAGAATCGCTGTCGGACAGTTTTCAGCAGCCTTGTGAGTAGTGTATTACGTCTAGATGGTGTGACGCTTTGTTTGCGCTCACTCTCTTTCACTTCTCCTTCATGTGACAACCCAAATAACGAATTAGACAGCAGCCCACAATACCTTGTAATCCGTAAATTCATTAGGTCAGTGCCGGACAACTCCATCAAGTTCAGTCCAGACCTTGCTCTGCATTATTCCGGCAGTAAGCACCAATTCAACATCGGGCACAAAGTGCTTTGAAGAAACCAACGTTGCCGTTTAACGAAGATCTTGGAGGTATTTTGTCCCCGATAAATCAACCATCAACAAACACTCGAATGTCATTCTGATGTCGAAATTTCGGATGTAAGTCGAAAGAACGGAATGTCGTTCACTTACACCGCCTCATTATTTGGGGCACCTATTTATGACCCTCAGATTGTTGCGGATGAACCCTCAGAAAATTTGATGTCACCATATATTTTTTACCTGTACGTTTGAAACAATAACCTCCTATTCCCGGATGACTGCTGGATTGTCACTGAAAGCTGATAACTGTCCGGAGGCCAGCCGCTCCTAATAACCGAACAATTGGACGGATGTGTCACGTGCGAGTTACGGACCAAACGAAGACGCCCTGATTGGTCAGAATGCCAGTCAATCTTGATCGAGCATCCGTAGCTCAACGCCTTTCGTCCACCCCCTCGCGAAGACTCTATCGCGAGCAACATTCTGTGATGACCCTATGAATACGGCTGTAATAATCTCCCTTGGTTTCCATAACGGATTATGTGAAGCTACTGTGTCTTTTAATATCCCATAATGGGCGGGGCAGGAAGCCAAGGACTGACACTGAGTTGCACAACCGTTCATCAAAACAACAATAACCTTATAAATATTTCGTTCGTTTACTTTAGGTTAGGTATTTGTGGCCCCGTGTTGGCTGTCCCTTAGGCAGTGACAATCCGTGCTAGTGAATTACTTGAAGCCTTTAAGCCATAAGTTTTCTCTCTTTCTCTCTCATCCCGAGCACAGGGATATTCTCCGCCTTCCCTATCTTGCCTCTACCTATAGTTATCAGGTTATTTGGCCAGCTGAACTCCCCCGGGCTGCCCCCATCACAACCTGCGGAGATTTCGATACCCACGATTCAGGCCACCGAATGTTCAAAAGCTTCGGGTGGAGCTTATCTGCCGGTATTGATTTGGATGGGAACCATGCTCCGGATCTGATTGCTGGCGATTTTGACAGTGATCAGTTACGTGATGTATCGCAAGTTCTTCCCTTCCCTTATTGTCCGAATGTCTCCATTTCAGTGGGTAAATCGAAACTGTTGACTTGGATCATCCACGTGGTTAAAGAAAACCTGACTCTAAACATTTTCAATCGTATTTCAGCAGAACCTTGTGAACAAAGGGCGAGACTACCAAGGCTAGGAGACTGAATTTGGGTCCACATCTAGGGTTAGATTCCATACTGTTCACCTAAAGGGAATCAATATCCTTGCAGCACCATTATTCAATCAATAATTTCCTCCACTTGGTGCTTTCTTTGGAGGACGGCTACTCACTAGCAGGTCAAAGCTACGAATCAGAAAACCTGAGTTTCAGCCACATGACACTCGCAACTGGATGGCGTCCCAAATGGGACCACCAGACACAGGGAACCGCGGTGAGTCCCCAAACACCGACATACTCCAGTGCAGACACGGTTGTAGAGACTATTCTCGACAAGTCGCTCATAATGGCTTTAAACAGCTGCCGTCGAGTTGGGAATTCTCAGCGACACCATATTTGTCGTCCGAAAGTTGATGCTAGTTCTGGAGTGGCAGTGAGACCGACTGTACGAAGGTTTATATAGGTCAGACAGCCAGAGAATTGCACACCAGAATCGGTGAGCGTAAGCGTTCCATTAACAAACCGCCGAGAAACGCAGATGAATACCAGGCGTTAGTCAAAGATTCAGCAACGGTAGGGCAGACTCTAGACACTGGGCATAGGATAGATTCAGAAAATGTGGACATCCTGAGACGGGGTTTAAGATTCACACCACAGCGATTGGTGGCCGAGACGCTGGAAATCGCCAAGCATCCCAGTGTGAATAG